CCTTAGACTCGCGTGCTTACACGGAGAGCGATTTCGCGACTCTTCGCTTGACCTCGGTAGCTATTCATCCATCTGAACCTTTCGAGATCGAACGCGGTCGCCGCCTCCAGAGGATTGCATTAAATCCGAGCGTCCAATGAGCGACGCGGAAAAAGATCTATCTGTATATAATCTATCTATATATGCTCCCCTGTTCAAGATAGATAATTGACCAATTCGAGACCGCCGCCCAATTGAATTACGTTAATGCAATTATTCTATGCCGGCATACCTAAATGAAATTAATATACCTCTCCTCGAATGTAAATCGAATTTACCAGGTTACGGGTTATAAATGCGTTTCACATTTACGAGAAGCGTTAAAACAAGCTCGCAGCTGGGAGAGAAAAAGATATCTTCGGCCGATATCGGGTATCGGCTCTTCCAGCGATTTTCCGTGTCGATAATGCAACCCCGTTCAGCGTTTCCAACACACACTGTATATATTCATGGAGTAGCTGAGTCCATTGTGCGCGTTACGTACGAGTTCTATATACCGTGAATTGACATTATAAGAAACGTCCTTGAATTTCATCGCCTCGCTGATGGGGAGAGCGCGCTCACACCTTCGGCAAGAGAATGTCAGATCGGATCACTCGAATGCATCCGGAATCACAATCGTTGTCGGATATAGGGCACGAGGTATAACGTAATCAGCTGTGCAGCAGCGATCAAGGCCTTGCTTCTTACGAAATCTTCGCCTTTCTCGCGTCTGTGCGAGTCTAAGTCTATCCATGAAGACATCGCGTGTTCGCTCCGAGATTGATTAATGTCTCGTAAAGTCCACTGGAAAATCGAACAATCAGGACGATCGTTAACTTTCGTTCGGTCGATCGGTTTGTTGAAGTTTAAATCGTTATCATCGGTCAACGTGACAACAGCGATATGTCGGGAAGATTTAATTCGAGTCGAGCGAACCTGAAGTCATCCTCGGGCGTTTTCCTGATTCTACTGATATCCATCAGAATATTATTTTAACGAATATTCCGAATCGCGAAGGATCCACATTCGGTATTTCCACCTGTTGTCAATGGTCGCCGTCAATTTCGTCGTCGGGGAAAAATCGAAATATCACCCGCATCATTTGCGGCGCCATCGCAATTTCGGGACAGGCGATTTTCAGGACTTCCACGTACCACGACTTCCCGGCGGAAGTTTCCTCGCCGTAAAGCAAGGAAGCCCCGAGAGAGAGAGAGAGAGAGAGAGAGAGAAAGAGAGAGAGAGAGCTTCATCTTCCTCGGTCGCGTCAGGCTGACGCTCGCGAGGGAAAAATCGTCGGCGAGAAGTATACGAAGGTATGAGGGGGTGAAAAGAACGTTTGACTATTCATGCGCCCTCGTTGGACGCTTGAGAGTCACTGACGAACGTGGCGGCAGCGTGTAGACACCGTTACATACACAAGTCGGCGAGTCCGCGAGCAGATGATGAGATAAACAAATTATAAATAAAACATCGGACACCCTCCACTTCCTCCCCCTCGTGCGGGTGGAGAGAAAGAGAGAAAGGTGGTGAGTGAGCAGCACGTAGGTAGCTAGGGCCGCTATACATCCGCGCACGTACCGTACATCTCCCGTCCTCGCGCCATCTCGTCCTTTTCGTCCTCTTCATCCTTTTCGCCGCCGCCGCCGCCGCCGCCGCCGCCGCCGCCGCCGCCGCTGCCGCCGCCGCCGCGTCGTCGCGTCGCACTCGTTGTCGTTGTGCCAGGACCGTAACGACTGCTTTGAATTTCATGAGGGTGCGAATGAATTCATGGTGGGATGGCGGCGGATGGCGGTTGGCCCC